TTAGAAATTCATATTGGTAGAGAATATTATTGGACGGACTCACTAATAGTTTTGTACTGGATTCGAGCTGTCAACAAGAAACTGCCAGTGTTCGTAGCACACCGAGTGGGTGACATTCAGGACTCAACAGCTGTCGAGGATTGGAGACATGTTCAAGGTAAAGAAAATCCTGCGGATTTGATTTCGCGGGGGGCCAGCATCAAGGATTCCATGGACTCGCAAATTTGGTGGAATGGACCTCAATGGTTGCATCAGAAGAACTTACCAGAGGAACGATGCAAGCAGATCGATTATGATGAAGAACGGTTGGAAAACCGTGACAAATCCAAAATCGTGGCAATGACAGTTTGCAAGAACTCAAGTCCATTTGAGAAATATAGCAGCTTCAACAAAAGAATCCGAATAGCCGCTACATGTTTACGATTTGTACACAATTGCAAGGGAGAGAAAGCACGTGGTCCAATTACGGTAGATGAAATGGAGAGAGCAGAAAGGAGTTTAGTGAGAAGAGAGCAAGAGATCGCATTCTCAGAGGAGATCAACAGATTGAAGAAGGATAAGGCAATCTCACAACAGAGTTGTCTGAAATTCTTAAACCCCTTTTTGGATAAGGACCGACTATTAAGAGTTGGAGGCAGACTAAGACATGCGCAATTATCGTCGGACATCAAGCATCCAATCGTGTTACCTCATCATTCGAGAATCACAGAACTCATCATAGAGCATGAGCATCTAAGAAATCTGCATGCTGGAGCAGATGCAACATTAGCTGCTGTTCGCCAAAAATACTGGCCGATCAGGGCGCGCGGTACCGTCCGCAAATTGTTACGCGGTTGTATAAAATGTTTCAGGTCGAAGCCACGGTTCTCAGAACAATTAATGGGGGACCTTCCGATGCATAGAGTTACACCTTCAAGGCCATTTAGCAGTACAGGGGTGGATTTTTGCGGACCGATCTACATTCGTGAAGGTTCAAGGAAAAATAGCAAACGGATTAAGACTTTTGTGGCGGTATTTGTATGCATGGTGACAAAGGCTGCACATTTAGAAGTAGTGTCCAACCTGACAACGGACGCGTTTCTTAACGCCTTTAAGCGGTTTATCGCTCGAAGAGGTAAGCCAGCAGATGTTTTTTCAGATAATGGAACTAATTTTACAGGAGCCAATCGTGAATTAGAAGAGCTTAGAGCTTTATGTAATCAAGAGGAGCATCAGCTCAAAATTATTAACGAAACTGCCAAGGAACGAATCAAGTGGCACTTCATACCACCACGCGCACCACATTTTGGTGGTTTGTGGGAAGCCACTGTAAAGGCGTTCAAAAGACATTTTTATAGAACAGTCGGTGAGGTACCACTGACCTTTGAGGAGGCATCTACGTTTACGGCTCAAGTAGAAGCTATCCTTAACTCGAGACCACTAATAGCTATCTCATCTGATCCTAACGATATGAGTTACATTTC